TTATCCAACCTATAGACGTGGTTTGGATACTTAGGGTCAAGAAACCCTGGAGGTTGTTTAACATAAACTTCCTCATGAAGTTTTCCATTAAGGAAAGCGCTCTTTACATCCATCTGAAAGACCTTGAAGTCTCTATGGGAAGCAAAGGCTAGAAAAAGTCGAATTGCTTCGAGTCTAGCCATTGGTGTGAAGGTTTCATCATAGTCTCTATGGTCCTGTCTTTAACAAATTCTTCCTGATCATAGAAGAATCCTAGACCAGTCTTTGTCTTGGCCGGGATCTAAGCGTTAATGATCTCAGAGGCCTTGATGGAAGCTTTGCACCACCCTTCAATGGTAGCTTTCTCAGCCTCGAGTTCAGCGATAGCTCGCTTACGCTTAGCGATAGCCTTCTCACGTTCAACAGTGATGGCTTGGTTTACAATAACCTGATCTTTAAGATTTTTCTCAACAGAGGTCAGTTCTTTGATCTTAGAATGGCAAATCTTCAATTGCTCTTGAAGATCAACGTTAAGCATTTCAGCTTTCGATTTGCCATTGAGGGCATTGTAAAGGTCAACCGTCAACGTATCTAGTGCAAAAAGACTAGAAGAATAAGAGGGTTCATTCAGGAAACATACCTGAGTAGAAGAAGAAGAAGATGGCTCAGAGGATGTAGACGCTTCAGAAGATCCTTCATCTGCATCTATGGCCATCAAGCAAACGTAGGCTTTATCCTCTTCATCCGAAGATGATTCATCGGATGATTCAGCCTAGTCATGCTCTTCAGCAATAAGGCCTTTAGCCTTTCGCTGGTTGTTCTTCACCTTCTTGTACTTCTCCTTTAGTTTTAAGTACTTTTCATCTTTGKTCCTGAAGGAGGAAGGAGCTTTAGAAGATGACGTCGCAGTCTTCTTTGATCTGCATTCAGCTGCAAAATGTCCGGGCCAGTGACAGTTGTAGCAGACAGCTGAAGTCTTGTCTATTCTTTCAGACTTTGGCTTCTCCCTGAGGGATAGCTGAGGAGATCTGCGGAGGTTTCTCTTACTGGCGAATCTCCTAAATGACTTAGTCAGGAGTGTCAGGGACTCATCAAAATCTGTTAAATCAGATTCTGGAATATCCTCGAAAGAATCTATCTCTGTGATGACCACGGGAGAAAGAGAAGAAACAAAAGGGCTAGAAGAAGTTTC